AAATAGTTTAGTGCAGAAAATCATTTGATCTTGTCAAAAGTCATTAATTATTAGTATGTCATTTATATATCATGACTTACAGTATCAATTTAATAGTCATTAGTACATAGAAATACAAAGCTTAATTGGTAAAAATGTATGATTGGTAAAAAATGTACAATTGGTATAAAATGTATATTGGTAAAAAATGTATAATTGGTAAAAAATGTATAATTGGTATAAAATGTTGTGAAAAAATTCACTTTCCATACCTTTTGACACTGCAATGTGCATATACACGTACACGCATAGTCTTAGAATTCACACTGTTGTCATGTAATGTAATAGACAAGACTTTGGATCCAACGAGTCGCTTATAGAGAACTGATAACCAGTAGTCCTATGAATTAAAGTAAAGATATGAAAGATAAAAATGTGGTCATCACATGCAACTCTATTAGAGATGTAAATATATGCAGCAGTTTTTATATTCTTTGTATGACTTATGTGATGTTATCATAGAAAACTTGTCTAGCTCTGGCACACAAGATAACCCGTTTACATACTCATAAATAACACACTGACTCCACAAAACCTTTTCACTAGATCTTACATTTTTGTGAGCAGTGACATATGTACTTGTATACAAGCATTATTTTAGGTTATTATGTGGAAACGAATTCAAGGTTATTACGAGAATACCTCAAAGTATGCATGAAGACAATACAGCTGGAATATCGACCGATGTGCAGCGGAGGTCGATGCACAGCGTATTGTCTGAAATACATGGATATTAGTTGCAATGCATGATGGGTATACTACATAGATTGTGATGGAACCATGTGGGTAATCAGAACTGAAGTAGAAATACATAGATATCAGTTGCAATGCATGATGGGTATACTATATAGTTCAATTGACTGAAGATTTGTATATTCTTATACGTTAAGGATGCTGCAGGGATTCTAGGCATCATTGAAGTGAGGTACAATGAGTGAAATATATTGAAATAGTGAATTAGCAAGTGAAATGTATGGTGTTCACAAACTTAATACCTATATAAACTACAGGCATGATAATACTGGTAACAAACCGGTAATGGATTTAGATCATCATCAATCAAAGCGTAGTGACCATGAAAAAATGTTTGTCTTATTACAACATCAATACCATATAAGGAAGATATGCCAAGTTTATCCAACCACCTGTGTGAGTGAAATCACACAAAAAGAAAATAAATATTAGGTTTTCGTGCTGGATTTCTAGATAAAGTCAGCACATGCCAGCACTAGACTAGACTAGACTAGACTAGATGGAATTTCTACTTCATTTTAGTGTTCAGAATAATATACTAGTAGTGGTAACTTAAAATCGAATTACGAGACTCAGTGTAAACTTACATGAATCCTGCCACAAAGGTGTCTGAAAGTTTGGGTGCCCCTCCCCCATATGCAGAGCTTGTTTCACCTAACCATACACTAGATCCAGGTCGATGTTCATCAACAATCTCATTAACACGCTGGATTTCACCGATTAACTTATTTAGGATATTAGGATTAATGAAATCATCAACTTTAGCCGTTTTACCGTCAACGTAGTATTGATGCCATGTTGTGGCATTCGTCACGTTGTTGGAGAACTGTAAGAAACTGAAACAATGCCTGCATCGTTAATTTATAATCATATTAGGAGTGGTGTGACATATTGATTAATAAAAACTTGGTCACAGTAATTGTGGGCTATCAAATCACTGATTGCCCACTCAATTTCTTGACAGGCAAGCGTCTTTTGGCAAGCTTGAACAGTCTTCTCCCCCTCGGTGATACATCAGTTGTGATGCTTGTTTCTTATTGGTGTGTTAGGAATTGATAGCCCACTATTCACTGCAATCTTGAAAGAATGTAAACTTGCACGCCCATCAAATTTGGTAATATGTAAATTACACCAATCTGTGACATTATTAAAATGCTCGTTAATATTAATAGCAATGGAACCCTTGTTTGTTTTGCAGTATTTAGGCTTTTCGTTATCAAATCTAAGTTATATCTCTAAGTTTTGTTTATAGTATTATACATGTAGTACAAGTACTTGTCCATATTGAGAGATATTGTTCTGGAACAACATTAATTAGAACAAAATGGTCATGGGTCAGCCATTTTGAATTGGACAAACCAATACATCTGTATATCTATGACATGATATATAATGAATATATAAAATTTGAACATCAGTCAAAGCATGTCAGAGATATGGCACTAGAACCACATTCATTAAAACAAAATGGTTGCCAGTCGGCCATTTTGAATCTGATCTGAAAAACTAAATGACATGCATCAAGGTCCCATAAGGTCCAATGCATGTACCAAAATCCATTGGTAAACACCTAAGATATGTTTGATTTTGAAGATTTTTCAGTATAAAAAATAGCCGCCATTTGACCATCTTGAATCAGATCGTGAAACAAATTGACGTGCATATGTATAATATTATGTATGATGTGTGTGTGAAGTTTGAATTAGGCAGAGGGTTCTCGGAACCCGCCTATTCACATAGCTCATACCCATCATAGACTCCGGTCAGTCAAAATGACTATTTTGAACTGTAGGCTTTAATCTACGATTCAGTCAATGACGAAGGTCAGGGGAAGTCCCATGACCTCAAGATTTTCCCTCACGTCACGAACCATGTAACTGAGGCCATGAGGCGTAGCCATATGGCTAAATACGTCACTTTTGGTTCTTTCTTTCTCCACGCCGAGGACTAAGCCAACGCTATGGAAAAAGTGGGGTGGTTAGGGGGACCCGGAGTCAATGGTGGGTATGAACTATGTGAATAGGCGGGTTCTGAGAACCCTCTGCCTAAATTCACTATGTTCAATTACCCACCATGGACTCCAGTCAGTCAAAATGACTATTTTTAACTGTAGGCAGAGTCAAACACCAATAGGTGGCGGGTTTCGAAGTAAACAGAAAGTGATGAAAAGTGTGTAACAGTCCGGGATAATGCTCTCAAGTAATAGACTACCAACTACTAGTAGTTAAGACAAATACAGGAAATGGTGTCTCATCTTGCCTGTGCCATCCCCAGAGCAAGAGCCAAAATGCTGCCACGATGTCGAAATCGAGATCTGGTAATTCCAGGGGGTCGAAGGTAGAAATCTGTCCTCAAAATTGCTGAGACTGACTTATCGCCTATGCGCAGAGATCCCTGCGGTAGTCTGACCCGCTATGATGGGACACATCCTGAAGAGAATCTCATCAATGGATTGAGTATCTCTTAGGTGGTAGTTAATAAAGACGTTCTGCGTTCTCCAGAAGCCTGCCCTCAACAATGTGAGTTAGCAATTGCACAGACCTCATGCGCTCGTACTTGGTATCTCTGCAAGCTCTGTGTCGAGGAACTATAGACTTCTAACACAGTCGCTGTAATCCACCTGGCGATGGAAGTCGGGGAGGCTGGCCTGTCTTGCTTGCCTTGGCCGTAACACAAAAACATGTGCTTGGCACCTCGTCTTGAATCCCTAGTACGGTTTTCGTAGCAACTCAGTGCTCGAACCGGGCCGAAAAGCAATTCCTCTTGATCCTCTTTGCCAGCAATGTTTGACAGCCGGGGGATGACGATCTGCTGGGGATCGTGTCCTGGGATTTGGTTCTTGGCGAGAAACCTGATTCGTGTCTTTAACACAACTTGATTGTCCATAAAGGCGGTACATCGTCTGAGAAGGAGAATGCCCCCAGTTCTGACCGACACCTACCTGAGGCGAGGGCCAGTAGAAAGACTGTTTTCCACGTCAACAATTCGAGTGGTGCTGACTGGAGAGGCACAAAGGGCGGTCTGCTTAGAGCGGTCTGCTTAGAGCGGACAACACAACTGACAAATCCCAGTTGGGTGGTTCCCTTGTTCAGGTCTCAGCCTCTAAATAGGAAAGCAGTAAACAGTCTCCTAATAATAGGACAATCGGCTAGTCTTGTTCTTAATGGTGCGGAACAAGGCCGACCTGTAGCCAACGATCGCTGCGTAGGACAAACCCACTTCATCAAATGAAAGAGTCTACTAACTGGCCAACAGAGGGATGGCATGAATCAATATCCCTTCCACTACACCAATCCCTGTATGCTTGCCCACTTTGAGTTGTAGGCAGCGTTGGTGGAATCCCTGTTCGCCCTGCCCAAGACATTGGCAGCCCGCTCAGACAAGACTTTCGTCTGTGCAAGTCTACTGAGAGCCTCCATGCATGTAAGTGATACACCTTGGGCTCATTGGTAGTGTGCCGTCTAGTTGGGATGGCATGTCTGTTAAGTCCGGAAGCACTACTGGTGTTTCGACTAGCATTTCCAACAGAAATGGAAACAGGCCTTGGTTGGTCCATTGTGTGTGACCAGTGTCAATATGCAGGTGTGCACCTGTCAAAGTTTTCTCTGGTCCCTGGTGAACTAGCGGGAAGGGAGGAAGGCATAAACATCTATGTGGGTCCACAGGGTCGACAAGTCGTCCCTGGCCAAGGCTCCTGGAGTCAGCAGGAGTGTTATATACGTCGGCGTTCCAGGGTGTGATAAACACTCTTTGGACCGTCCCATAACAAAAACAGCCTGGAGGCTACCCACTGGGGTATCTGCCACTCCGTGTTCTGGAGGCGGAGCCACCTGAAAGGGCGTCTGCCATACTGTTAATCACCCCTGGAAGGTAGTGTGCGGTTAGCTCCACATTGTATTCCAGACACCAAAGGAGAATTAATAGCTCTGCTAGGAATGACAACGATGGGGGACGCGTACCCCCCCCCCTCTTAGATGGAGACCACCTTTGTGTTGTCTGTGCAGAGCAGTACTCTGTGGTCTCAAACTATGGGTAGAAAGTGAGGTAGTGCTAAGTGCACTGCTTTCAGTTCGAGCCAGTTGATATGGCTGTCCCGAAACCAACAGGGCCATATATTTTGGGCTTGTTCATCCAATAGATGCACTCCCCAGTCTTTGAGGGAGGCATCTGTTACCAGAGTCACGGCTGTGGCAAGTGGGTCAAGGGGACCCCCTGCCTTAGGTAGGCCATTGACAACCACCACGGCAGGGCTTCCTTCGCTTGGTCCGAGAAAAACTCGCCTGTCCAGTTCCCTTTCGTGTGCTCGGTGGTGTAGCTCGGGTGCATCGTTTCAGTATGTGCAGGTAGGCCCCACTTAAGTCTAGTGAGGCTAGTCAGTCGAAACAATGGATGGAGAGAAGAATGCTACATGGCATCTCTATGAGGAACCGATCGAGGAGCACATACTGATTCAGTCTGGTTAATTCAAGAACTGGACACCACCTGAAGATTTTGGTACTATGAACACTTGAACAGAAAAAAGCAGGCTTCCAGGCTAGACTAGATAGTTTCATTCGCACGGCGCGGAGAATCTGAATCTGAATTTAACAGAATCAATTATTCTGAGCATGTTCAGTGGCTCTGTCAGTGGAGTCGTGAGAGGTAATTTGGGATGAAAATCTTGAAAACAACTCACTTAGGATTTTCAGATCAGGAAAAATAAATTACGTGCATATTTTATACAGACTTGTTCATCAACCTGCCAAGTTTCATTGACATGTGCTGCAGAGTCCCTGAGAAAATGTGAGAGATAACTTGCAGAAACTTGAAAATGAGAAAGAAAGTAATTCTAGTAGTCCCCTTTCAGGGTTCGTCTGAACAGGGACTAAAAATCAATTTCTTAGAAATTAGGGTATTTCAAAATCATTATTACGTTAGATATACAGAACTCTACCTATCAATGTATTTATCAGTTTTCTTCTTCCCAACAGCATTAATGTCTGGACCGAATAATAAATTATGACGGAGTTCTTCATGAGAGTTGAGTATGTTACGTAGGGTTACAAAGTCTTGTGCCAGTACGCTTGCGTCAAGTGTTCTTCCCACTGTTCTGTTTAATGAATTTGGTTCTGAAAAGAATGTATATAAAATATTAATAAAAATTTATTATGTAGTTTTTTGTTATTCTAATATTTATTAAACATTTTATCTATATTTCATAAGAAATAAGTAATTAAAGATGTTCAGACTGAATTCAACTTTATCTTCTTCATGCCATCAGTATTATGTGTACATGAGATTAGGATACCGAAAATAAATAATTTGAATCACTAGAATATTTTTCAAAATCAAATGGTATGAAATTCATGAAAAACAAACAAAATTCACATTTTTGCCCAGGTTTCTATTAGAAAATAATTTTTTTTATATTTCGCAATTTTGCTCAGTGACATATAGGACTAAAAAGTCATATTATTACCGTTAAATATTGAGTGTGTTTCCAGTATGATAAACAGTTTTCCATTACATATATAATTGGATGTTCACTCCCAAAATGCATTGCATACATGTTCATGCAGTAGTGCACAATTAGAATTCAACCCAAACTGCCTTAAAAACTGTACCCATATGAGATTGCAATCAGATTTAAATCCAATTATTTAAACACAATACTGTAGAATACTTTATTTTCGCTGGAATTAATTTTCGCTGAAAAGGCATTTTGGACGTTTTGCTTGGAATTTATTTTCACTGATTTTTTATGAGTTTAATGTGAAATATAGGAAAAAAAGTATATTCGCTGGATTTTATTTTCACGGAATCACCCCTTCAGCGAAAATAAATTCTAAGCAAAAATAAAGTATTCTACAGTAGTAGGCGAACACAGTACATGTACATAAACTATCTACTTAATTACCTAGCCATTTTTCTTCATTTGAAAAATCTGCGCTTTAATTAGAGTCGGTCAATTTAGCTACTTTCTATTTTATTTTTATCACCTTTGAATTCATTTTTATATGACCTATGACCTACCATTTCCAAGTTCCCAGTTAACAGAATATCCTTTTTCCACAGTATATTTCATGAGCTCCATTGCATTACTAGAATCCCATGAATCGTTACCATGACGAAGGAGGACATTTAATCCAAATATAACATTCCATCCAACTTCACTGGCAAATTCGTTGATGTTGTTCCAGTCCTGAACTAAAATAGAAAGCAAAGTTTGTTCATTGAAGTTATCCAAAAACTCTTGCAATATCAGCACATGTAAACAGATTATGTTGTGGATATAAATCATCAATATCAGATTTAGGTTTAAATTCACATTATACTGTGCAAATTTAGAAAAAAAAATATCAAATTTAATAGCAAATAGATTTGAATTGTCAATATTGATGAATTATTGGATTTAGGCAGAGGGTTCTCCGAACCCGCCTATTCACATAGTTCATACCCACCATAAACTCCGGTCAGTCAAAATGACTATTTTGAACTGTAGGCATTAATCAGTGATTCTGCCAATGACGGAGAGATAAAATCTAGGTCAGGGGATGCCCCATGACCAGCAGATTTTTTTCTCTTATGTCACAAACCACGTGAACGAGGTAATGTGTTGCGCCATCTTACCCTGTAATTCACTTTGGTTCCTTTCTCTCGGTACCGAAGACTATACCAACCCTACAGAAAGAGTGGGGTGGTTGGGGGGTACTCAGAGTCTATGGTGGGTATGAACTATGTGAATAGGCGGGTTCAGAGAACCCTCTGCCTAAATTCACTATGTTCAATTACCCACCATAGACTCCGGTAAGTCAAAATTACTATACTACTAGTCAGACGCCAGTTTTTCCCAGTCCGAGATGATACACTCTACACCACTCATCACCTAGCTAAGACCCCCAAAAGAGGTTGGTGTCTTACCTTGCCTGTGCTGTCCCCAGAGCAAAAAGCCAAAAATGCTGCTACGGTGACAGGGTTAGGTGTGCCCGGGAATGCTAGACCCAAACCCAAGTCAGGGGGTAGTATGCTTTCGAAATAAAGACCGAAACAATTCTGCATGAGGACATAGGCCAAAAAGCGAGACCTGGAAACTTCCAAGGAGTGCTGATGGTAGAGTAATCTGTTCGCAAACAATGCTGAGACCGACTTATCGCCTATATACAGGGACCCTTGTGGTCGTTCGGGCTGGGTCAGCATCCAGAGTCTGACCCGCAACGACAGGACCCAACCTAAAGAGGCCCTCCTCAATGGATTGGGTGTCTCTTAGGTAGTAGTTGATAAAGATGTTTGCGTTCTCCAGAAGCCTGCCCTCAGTATATGTTCGAGGGGGTGCCTGATGCTAGCTCTAGTGAGTTAGCAATCGCACGGACCTCATGCGCTCGTACTTGGTGTCTCTGCAAGCTCTGGGTCGAGGAGGATGAAGTATTATAGACCTCTAATACAGTCGCAGTAATCCACCTGGCATTGGAAGTAGGGGAGGCTGGCCTATCCTGCCTGCCTGAGCTGTAACACAAAGACATGTGCTTGAATCCCTAGTACGGTTTTGTAGCAGCTCAGTGCTAGAACCTTGGTTCCTTGCGAAAAACACGATTTGTGTCTTTAGCACAACTTGATTGTCCGTAAGGGCGATACACTCGTCCGAGAAGGACAATGCCCCTAGTTCTGACTGACACCAACCTGAGGCGAGGGCCAGTAGGAAGACTGTTTTCCATGTCAAAAAATTGAGTGGTGCTGGTCAGAGAGGCTCAAAGGGCGGTCTGCATAGAGCGAACAACACAACCGAAAAATCCCAGTTGGGCGGTTCCCTTGTACAGGGTCTCGGCCTCTGATTCTGGAAAGCAGTAAATAGTCATCTAATAATAGGACAATCGGCTAGTCTTGTTCCCAAAGCGTTCTCAATGGTGGGGGACAAGGCCGACCTGTAGCCAATGATGGCTGCGTAGAACAAACTCACTTCGTAAAACAGGTGGATGAAGGAGTCTGCTACCTGGCCAATAGAGGGATTGTATGGATCAAATCTCCCTTCCACTACACCAATCTGTGTATGCTCGCCACCTTGAATTGTAGGCAGCATTGGTGGGATCCCTGTCCACCCTAGCCAGGATCTTGGCAGCCCGCTCAGATAAACCTCTCGTCTGTGCGAGTCTACTGAGAGCCTCTATGCATGTAAGTGGTACTGCCAGACTGTTCCTCACCCCTGGAAGTTGGTGTGACGTTAGCTCCACATTGTATTCCAGGCACCATAGGTGCCTGGATAGGGAACGTGTCCCCCACCCCCTCCTTGTTGAAGGAGACCATCGCTGTATTTCTTGTGCGGAGTACGACTCTGTGGTCTCAAACTACAGGTAGAAAGTGTGGTAGTGCTAAGTGCACTGCAGTTCGAGTCGGTTGATATGGCAGTCCCGGAACTAAGGCGGGGGCCATAAACCTTGGGCTTGTTCATCCAATAGATGCACTCCCCAACCTTGGAGGGAGGTATCTGTTACCAGAGTCATAGCTGCAGTGAGTGGGTCCAAAGGGACCCTCTGTCCGAGGTTAGCCAGTGACGACCACCAGGACAGGGCTTCCTTTGCTTGGTCTGAGATCAATACCCACCTGTCAAATTCCCGTAGGTGAGCTCGGTGTTGAAACAACAAATGTTGTATCGGGCAGCTGTGTAATGCGGCCTGGGGAACTACCCTTCAAACCGAGGTCATCATTCCCATGATCCGCATTAGTTCTTGGAGGAACACTAAGGGAACGCTGACGAGATGTTCTGCTAGGCTGCTTAGCACCAAGCAACGCGCCTGAGATGGGCGAACCCAGCCTACCTCTGTGTCAAGCTCCATGCCCAGAAGCACCAACTGTTGTGTCGGGTAATGATGGGACTTTGTCTGACTTACTAAGGTAAATCCTGTGTTAGCCTTACTTGCTCGGCTAATAGCCCCTTGTTTGGGTTATGTAATAACCAGTCGTCTAGGTACGGATTGATGTGTACCAAAGTTTGGTGAAACAGCAGCACCACCTGTTCCATCCATTCTGGTGAAACGTAGGGGGTGTGTATAACCCGGGGGGGCACTTGGGATTTGAATACTTGGCCCAATTGGGTGATTCGAAGGAGGTGGCAACTCGCTGGGTGCATTGGTATGTACAGGTAGGCTCCGCTTAGGTCTAGTGAGGCTAGCCAGTCGAAAAGGTGTATGGAGAGAAGAACGCTGTATGGCGTCTCCATGTGGAACCGATCGAGGAGCACATACTGATTCAGTCTGCCTAAGTCCAGAACTGAACACCTGCCACCTGTAGATTTGGTACTACGAACATATTTGAGTAGAGGCCTGGACTTAATGCCGGCTGATCTACCTTGTGTATAGCACCCTTTTCCAACAAACTGTCTACTTCCTGTCTGATTGTCTCTGCCTTGCGGGAGTCCCCTTGCAGGGCCCCCAATGGGGAGACACTGACGAGGAAGATGGATATTTCAGCGGTATCCTGTAACCATGTGTCACCACCTGGAAAGTCCAGCGATCCGTCACCCGCTGCCTCAAAACTGGACTATACTGGTGCAATCTGTGTGCGACAGGAATATGTGACAATGGGTTCGGCAGTTGCAGGGTGGGTGCTCTCTTCTCCCATGAGGTGAGTTTCTCCAAGTCCTGGAGTAGTCACTAACCACTCGCTGAACACATGCCTGTCCCCTCGCTCGCAGAGGTAAGCGTCAAACATGCTTCCCCCACTGCCGGGGTGAAAGACCGCCCGGGGAGGATGAGAAGCCACCACCTGGTCCCTTCTTCCCTGGGGGCGCACCGCTAGTCTTCCCTCCCGCAAAAGGGTATTAGCACTCGCCTCCTTCCTGACTCTGGCTAGCAGACGTCGCCTTAGGGTGGGTGTTTTCTGTGCTTGGGGTGCCCTTCGTTTACCCTTGGCAGTGGCTGACTGGCTATATAAGCGTTGAAGCAACAGTAAGTGGTTGCCATAAGATCAAGGGTATATACATCATATCACTAGGATTGATGATACTCTGCATCACCCTAACGGCGTGGTTCACCAAGTCCTTACGGATGGAAGATTCTGAGGGACCACCCAAGGTATCGCCT